CGATACTTCAAAGTATCTAAAAAACATGTCATGTCGAATGTGTTGCTTTATAGTTTCATAATATAGAAGCCACATTCACTTGGCCTAAAGAATGCTCAGAATGTAACAGGGCTGCTTTCACATCGCCAGACGATTTGTTGTCTCATTCGGAATTGCGAACAGTGATGGCAATATGACGCTACATTGAAACTTCGTCTCTTTTGTGGCCTAAATTGGAGGTTGTACACATTATTGTAGTTTCACTGGGGTTTGAACCACTCATCATCATAACCCTGAAATGTAAAAATACGGTTGCAGTTCCCCTCTAATGAGACCCTCAGATCACACGACGACTAGATAACTAGGTGGGCTAGTTGCTCGAGTCGGTGGACCTCTTCTCTCATGATGTTCTCGCGATAAACATGGAGGTAACAGCTTCCACCGGGGAGGCTGTGTTTGAGAATTGTGTGTTTAGGTGGAGGTTCTGTTGTTGGAGCTATTATCCACTCATTCACATCGGTCTGTCTGCAGTGAGCAGGTGCATCTGTCTGTGAGGGGTTAAGGGCTGTTTGGGCTAATTCGGCACTCGAAGTGTTGAAACAGCTGTTTGGGATTCTACTTCCAGGCCTGTACTGGGGCACACGGTTCACACAGATGAATGAATCGGGTTCATCGGAGGACTGAGCTGCCATCAATAGCCTCGATCACTTTGTTTCGCTTTCAGGACAGACGCCTGAGTGACTTACTCATCATCAGTCCATCTGTACACAAACAGTCAGCACCAAATTAGCATTCTCCTCCTCCTGCTTATAGACACTGCTGGTAGTCAGAACTGCACACACTGTTAAGTAGAGATGCTATAGTGATTTTAGAGCTGATGACCTGTAATACTTAAATAGCAGATTAGTGTTTGCCAGAACTATAGGCTATTTCTAGAGTACCCCTTTTCTTAATAATGAATACATCTGATTGGTGTCTTTGTCCTTAATTTAACTTTTTAAAATTTTGACTTTGAACTAAACAGGCATTAACATTTGTCTTAATTCTGTTGTTCCACACTACCACAGTAAATCAAGAATCAGGCCGTTTTCCTTTCAGCTGCCTTTCTTTATAGACCCTTGATGTGTGACTTTGGTCAGGTTGCTGTGTCTCTGGGGAAAAACTGCACAGTTACTTCTGTGAGCGCCGTGTTCCCTGTCCTGTGAACTTTTCCTTGCACTCAGTCCTGTGCTCCCCTCTGCCCCAGTCCTGTGCCTGTTGGGACTGTCAGAGCAGAGGGGTTTGCTGACAGACCGCGTGTGCAAGCCTAGCTGACTTACTACAGCAGCTCTCTTACTCGGCTCTGCTCAGGCTTTGCACAGACCTGCCAAGCAACTAGAAGTGGCTTGAAGTCTCAGCATCTAAATTTAGAAGCATAATAGTACCGTAGTGGAGTGATCATTGAGTGAGGCACTGGGATCAGGAAGGCATGCATTGAAAGCCCTTGATCGGAGGAATCCCTGGAGGCCTGTCAGGGCTGTACAGACTCAGGCAGTGCAGCTGTGAGGACAGGCTGTCTGCCACATGGCTGGAGCTTCATTGTGCCTTTTTTTCGTTATGCTGCTCTGACAGACACTGACAGTATGTGTCAGCACAAGCCGCCTCACCCAGGGAAACCATTTAAACTTCACAAGGGCATTTGTTCCCTGACAGTGAACTCCCACCGGTTAACTGATTTGGGCCCAGTTCGAGCCAGAGCACTGCTAATGTGTTACGTTGATGCCGCTGCTTAATATACAGTATAATTTCTAGAATGACACATTTTTCCCCTTTACCCTTTTACCCCAGGCCAGGCAAGATCAGTTTTCAAGTTCAAGGTTTAAAGAGACCCTTAAAAACGCCTCTTTTTGTTCCATGTGAATTTTAAAGATAAGGCCTCATATGATCTGGATATTTAGAGAAAGAATACTTCCCAGCCGGGGACAGAGACTTAATCTTGAGGACCCATGCTCATGTGATTGCCGTGCTCCTGTTGAGAGCTACTTCAGCTTCACCGAGGGCATCGTACAGCTCGCAGTTTGAGAACTTGGCTAAACATCATTTAGTCATCAGTCCTGTGGAGGTATGAGTGTGGAGGAAGTAAGCAGAGTTGCTTGGTAACAGACCATTCCAGGTTAATGGAGTTGTGTATCAAAAGATACAGATCACTGGTGATTCCACATTAAAGGAGAAAAAAAAGAAAAATTGTGTTTTTAGGCATAATGCGAAAGTACCTGAGCTGTCTCTTTGGTAATTTACAGTAATTCAGAAATCTGTGCCATGCCACGTCTAACTTCGTCAGACAGTTACTGTAAAAGTACTTGTTTCTTGTAGCCAGAGTCCAGAAATGAGAAGAGGTAATTCTGTCTGTTTGGCTCATTGATTGCTATAGTGGTAGCTTATTGATCTTCGATTGTCATCCAGCTCCTTCAGGAATAGATGTGAGTAAGTCACTGAAATCCGTGGTAGAATTGGGATGCTTTTCTTCTGTAAGATAGTACAACCCAATCTGAAGAGTTGCATGGCCTAAGCTATTTTTTAGTGGTTAGTTATGTCGAATGTCACCTTGATCTGCTGTATCATCAAACACGGGGGAATGAGATCTGACTGTTATGAGCCTTGGATCCTCCTGAGCTCGACGGCAACTGTTAATGTGTGACCATTTCATTGCTTTTGCAGATCCATCAGCAGGAACAGATTTACTGGAACGAACAGCTTAATCTTGGAAGTAGTTTTGCAGTCAATGCTGTTAGGGGAACAGGTCAGATAGATCCACGGGATGTTTGGGATTCATTTCTGGCTCCACTGTGAAAAGCATGGAGCTGGTTAAACTCCACTTCTTCACCCACAATAACCTGCTGTAGTTTCAAAGGATGCTTCTGTCTTGTTCTGCAGTGCTGTCTTACAAAGGAGTCCATAATTACAGTAATTTTGTTTTGGAGAAGGCCTTGATAAGCATCACGTGCAGTCATCCAGTAAATATATACCTGTTTTTCATCCTACAAACATTCATTGTAACGAATGAAACCTCTTCAGGCAGCAAACTTGCTGTAAGCTGAGAAGCACATGCTGAGCCCCTATTGTAGGAAGACATGCCCGGATTTGTAAAACTTTATCACACTGTTTAGACTTGTTTATGTTCTGCTTGTTGTGTTGTGGTGTGCACACGTTCTCTTGTTCAATTTATCATGCATTATCTGTGCAATCAATGTGCATCATAGGACCCAAATGTGTGGAAGATTCCCAGGGTGGCGCAGAGAATGCAAAGAAAGCATGAAAAGCAATAACCATGGTCCAGAAAATGGAAGTAATTAAGTAATTGAATGAGAGTCAGTGATCAAAAGACATTTGTGTTGCTATGAATTTGGATGCTGTCCCTACAATCTTTTTGCAAAAGGAGAAGATAGAAATAATTGTAGAATCTAGTGTCGGTGCTGTGAAACTGCATTACAAAGGCAAAAGATTTATGTTTTATTTCTGCACTTTTATGATTAAATTGAAGCTTGAAAGGTGAGATAACTCTTCTTTCTTTTGTACAGTTGTGAACAAAGTGAGCAGGGGATTGCCGACTAGTTGTTGAAGATATGATTGTTTAATATGCTTTTTCTGCTTGTTTAGTTCATGGTATTTGTTGTTTAGGTTTGTTAATGAGTTATTTTGAGGGTAAAACAATGTTTGATAGTTTCAGCTGGTATGCTGTTCTAATGAAAGGATCATTTTGGGGGGTGCTCTCAGGGTGGGAGGGTTGTATATGAGTTAGAAAATGTAGCATGTGATCCTTTGAGAATTATGTCTTCGATTTATGAATTTTCAACTTGCAACCTGTTTTCAGTTTTCAGAAATTGAGGGATGACTGCGTAGAGAAATTTATTTCCAAACCTGAAGGAAAGTAATGTTTTGCTACAGCTGGCCAGGATGGTTCCACCCTGATACTGCATTGTTGTGTCCCATAACTGTTTTATTGTTAGTGAAAGGAAATAACGCAGAAGAGTGAATGTACCCTTCTGTTGCTGTAATGTAACTGAAACCCAGACCTGTAGTGGACCAGCCTGGTGCTTGGCTTTGTCCTGGGTAGAGGCTATTTTCCATTAGGCCTTCTTGGGCTACGGTTACTGACAAATATCAAAGCCTCTGATGCCCCTGGGTGAAGTCTGCCCTTTTAGTGCTGCTGTATCGCTGGCTGTCTCTGTGGGCTGTGGAACCTCTGTAGGACCCATAGAAAGAGTCCTGTGTTTCGCCACTCTCCAAGGGAGAGCTGACGGATCGCATTTCCATGTTTATTCACACATGCGTGCAAGACAGCTTTCTGTTGAGGTAATGGTGTGAATATACAGGAGCTGTTTGCACAGATAAGGGTATGCGTGTCAAAGGATGGTGCGTCGTGGCAGTTTAAACGTTGTAATAGACAACTGCCCACAGAGCCCCACTCATTAAAAAGGGACTGGATGTTATGAGTCTGTTTGGTATGCGTGCATGCTTTAGAACAGCGCGTTCTTCAGGGATCTGTAGTGCCCATCAGGTGCTCTGTCACACTGAAGGAGTTAGCTTCATTCCTTAGCATTTCAGGTATTTGCCAGAGCTGTTCCTTTCAGAAGCTGCTCCAGTGTTTTATCTTGCCCTCATCTTGGGTGTCTTTTGACCAAGCTATTTCTCTGCACTTTCCTTGTTCAGCACTTTCCAGGATCCTGAATGTTAAGATACTTGTTCATCTGTCCTCTAAAGTAGCCCACTGTAAATTTCTTTTCCTGCTTACCCCTGTAAGGCACCTGGTGCTATGATGTCCTTGGCTCCCTGAGCTTTAGATCTTCCTTAAGGTCATTTGACCTTCAGTTCTTAGCTACTGCAGTTGATGTATCTCGTAATACATCCTTAAATCTTATAATCTTATAATTCTCTCTTGAGCACATACCAGTTTAATAGAAGCTTTGTACACCATATTCAGGAATGCACAAAATAAGTCTTTTATTTCTTCCTGTGATTTTTATGTATTTTGTTGTTTTCACAGTGAACATTGAGAGGATAGAGCTGAAGACCCAGGCGCACAGGAAGAGTGAGAAGCTGGCAGAGTACCTGTTTGAGGTAAGCAGTGTGGCACACAGGCTGATGGCAGAGGGCTCTTGTTGTCACAGCCTGCAGGCAACCCGCCTGGTGTTTTCTCCTCGGAAAGAGTGGGACTTTCATATCATTCCAGTCTGTTCCTGCCTGCGTCTCTGTGTCCGTGCATGCAGTTGGAAGGAAGTGTTTCCCAGCAGTGAATTCCAATCGACAATTTCAATTTTAGTTTGAATAAATTGATAGCGCAGCATTTCATCCTAGAGAGAGCACTGACCGAGCTTGCAGTGTTCACTGCACATGAAGAAATGCAAAACTCCAAGTCCGTCTCCAAATCCAGACTCCAAAGACAAGTTCCAGTCTTTAATGCCTGCTGGAGGTTTTGAGAAGAGTTTATCACTTTCTGTTCTGTAGATGTATGAGGTCAGAGAGACATCTAACATTTAAATAGAATTGGTCGTATTGCATGACCGGACCTCACACATGAAGAATTGGTGATGAAAGAACAGTTTTGGTGATACAAGGTAATCTAGAAAAGGAGGAATGGAAAGATGGTGATCTGGATTATGGGCAACGTAAGAAGGCTTCACTGAGCTCTCAGGGAAGGGCTGGCCAACATCAGTCACGTCAGGATCTGCCAATAGAGTTTGAGGCAGCAAACTCATGTCCATGTACTTGATGACAGGGAAACGCCTGTGTGCAAGAGCTCCGCTGAGTACGCTTTTCTCATCTTCAGCGGGTTCAGTGGGAATTGGGAGAGCCTGATGGGAATCGTGACAAACTTCCCACACACTGTTCCATTTTTCTACCTGGTTTACATCTCAATAGGAAGTTCATATTCAGGACTGACCTTAAAATGTTCCCCGTTTCACCTCAACAGAGCCAACGCAGTTCTTTCTAAGCAGTCTTGTGCTCCTTTGTTGGGCATTGTTAGAGACAGCTGCAAAGAAAGGAAATTCCCGGGATACGTAAACTGTTTGGAAATAACATTCCACGTACTCTCCTGAATGTTTGGCAAGAGTTACTATACCTGGAGAGGTCTGTGGGACTAGTGACAGTATTACCATAATAGTAACCTTAAGGGTTTTGAAATATGATACAGTGATCAGCACATTATTACACCATCATCATAAAAGCGAACCATGAGTCTTCCTTAGAGGCATTCATGGCGTTTAGAAGGAGCTGCGTGTCTTCTTTCTCAATGCAAAAGATATTTGTTTTGACATCATTCTTATTAGTTAAACCTGCCACCACTGCGTCCGAGGGACTAGGTGTGCCAAGGGAACGCTCTTAGCCCCCGGTCAATGGGCCTTAATGGGCCTTTTGTTCCTTTTTTTCTGGTGTTACTGCGTTTCTGCGATGTGTTTTCCTTACCCTGCTACCAACGTTTGTGCCACACCTCTCTGTACTGCATGCTGTGTTAATCCATTTTTTTCTTGACCCTCTCCTGCTGCCTGCACCTCTTTGGTGTGGTTCTCACACCCCTGGTCTGGTCTTTAAACCATACATAGATATACCATAACTGTAGAATGAAAGCGATCGAATTAGATTTTTATTTTACTTTCTTAGAAAAGTTAAGAATACGTGAGAAATTACACGCTTTTTAAAGTTTACCTTATAATACTGCTGATGCGGTTCACATCAGATATGTTTTTCTTTCCATGTGGAATTCTGGGGTGGCTGGAATGAATGAAAAAGAAATACATGTTAATCAGAAAGCCTGTTTCTCATTTGAGAAGTGGTTCGTGATTGTGTTTGTGCCCAGTGGACCCAGTGGGGTGTCTGTGCAGAGCTGACTGCGTGGCATTGTTGTGCTTTGTAAGAGGGGAGGTGGCTGGATGTTAGTGTTGCTGTCATTGTCGAGCTGCTGGTTTTTCATGCATGAAACCTAAAACCTTAGATGGCGAGTCCAGCAGCATTTCAGCACTGAGCGGTTGGAAGTTTGACCAGTCATGGTTTTTGTCCCAGAACCCATCATGTTTTCCCACTGGTTCTAGCTTAACAGTAGACAACAGCATGGTGTCAGCCACATGACCATCTGCTAATGATCAGATTTGCTTAAAAACAAGAGAAAACGTATTAAAATCAGTTTTAACTCTACTTGATTTAAAAAAAATGGTACAGTTTTAAAATAAAGTCTGTTTTTTGGCGTGATCGGTATTTTAGGGTGATTTCTTGAAGGTGAAGCAGTTACACTTAAATGAGTAGCATGATTTACATAGTTAAAGACTTGTTTATCTAAATTAAGATCTGTTATTCCAAGATCGGTGGTAATTAGGATCTGTGAAACCAACAGAAAGAGTCTTGAGTTTTCTGTACCCATAAGCATTTTTCAAACAACTGCTTCACAGCAGCTGCTGGAAGAGTGATGCAGTCAACATCATTAGTTCTCCTCCCCGATCACATTTTAGTCACCCAAGTGGCTGGCCTTTTGCTCCTTTTAATTGCTTCTCTATTTAGTACTTTTCCACTGCCTTCACACACAACATCTCAACATCTCTGTAAGAACAATTACAACCTCTTGGTTTTTAAGTGGCTAATTGATTTGAGGATCTTTATCCACCCATTTCTTCAAAGAGCTTCTACAACACAGTTGGGTAGTTTTTTTTCCAGACTCCCTCAATCCAGAGGACATGATCCAATTTTTTTTTTATCAAACACGAAGGCCAAAGACTTCTGAAACCCTATTAAAGCTGTCATAAGCAAAACTTTGTATATGGAAAAGCAACTGACATTATATGAATGAAAGGTGTTTGTGATTTAGTAGATGTTGGACAGCTGAAAAGTAAAGCTTTTGAATGTTTGATATTCTTTTTATTTATTTATTTTCTTAGGTTCTGTGGTCAGATTCCACTGTATCAACAGTCTTGAAAGCTGCTCCAGACCTGACTGAATTTCTCTCAAAGGTAAATTGGAAGTTTATTTGTTGTAGTGTTAGTAGCCCGCAGACTTTTGTTGTGAAAATTAGGAAGGAGGGTTACAGACAAGAGAACGGCAGTTCTTGCATGTTTGTTTGGTGGATTAAGGATGTGAGGAGCTCATTCTTGGGAGTCTTCTTCATCAGTACCTTTGACCTTTGACCTGTACTGACATGTTCTCCAGGTTTCCCTCCTGGTTTCTCATTCTTGTTCACAGTAGGAGCAACACTAAGGATCTCTGGAAAATAAATTGGTCCAATACTCCATTACATCATACAATTTTTTGGACACAAACTGGCATCCTGTCTATTGCATGAACACATTTTCAGTAGACACCTACTGCAGGCATTTCCCAGAAGATGCTACAGAAATGGAGATGTCATTTATGCATTGTTGAACATTAGAAAACCAGGAATTGTTGACTCGCAGACCTACTAATTCCAACCTTAATAATGAGAGAAAAAGACAATTGGAAATGAATTTGCTATCAGTATGGGTCAGTGTGCTGCCTTATGAATGGAAGCTGCTACAAACTGCACTGCTGAGAGAATTTGGTGGTAAATATGATCATCTGTGGGTGCTTTTTTGACAAGTTTTTGCAGCATGTGGATTTTCCTTGGAGTCTGCCAGTTCGTTTTACAATCATGGCTTCTCTAATCTTTGGTTTGGCCGCCTACACACTAGCCTTAATGAGCCATAATAATTTCTAAGGAGGTCAAATAAAAAATAATAGTAATAAGGGTCTCTAACAGAGACAGAGGCATCTTTTTCCACTGCATTCATTCTTTTTTGCTCTGGAGTTTTGTTAATGATCTCACCTAATGTTTTTTGACACCTCAGAGCCTGAGCTGAATTCAGATTGTGTCAGTGGTTGGGAGAATCCTGTGGATCTGGGCTCAGAAACAGTCTGTGTGTGCTGGGAATTTCCAGCATGCTTTGTACCAGAGGCTAATTATGAGCCTGCAACTCTCATCAAAAGAATTACATTTAAAATTTAACAATCCAACGAAGTCTTGGAGATGGTTGTGCCAGTGCTGTAAAGTGCAACTAGTCCAGATGGACAAAGCATGCAAAGGCAGCATACAAAGTCCATGAGGTTGTTTGCTGTGGCTTTCCCAGCCTCTCAGGTCAGCGTTCAGGGGGGAACAACATAAGACTATCTCTCTGCTGACTAGGCTAGAACCTGCGGCCGGAAGCCCTTCGCTGAATAACTGAAAGACCAAAGACCAATATGGTGGTGTGTGTATGCCTGTTAAAAAATCACAGAGAGCTCAGTATATTTCAAATGTGCTCCCCATCAAATGAAAACTTCAGCTTTGGAAAACCATGAATGTCCACTTTGTGACCTTCGTGTTTTTCCTAGCAAGTACCAATACTATAAGAATGCAAAGTATGCAAACTGTGTCCCAGCCTGACTAGCCCACTGTGTTGTTAGAGGAGTAATTCTCCAAGAATCCCACCGGGTCGTTTCTAAAAGGATCCCGCAGTCTGCTTTGACGTATTCCAGACTCAAACAAAGTTTATCCCAGGTCCTTGTATGGTAGATTGTGCAGGAATCCCCCGAGCTATGTTTTGTCCGTACCTCTCGGGATTCTCAGGGACTGCATCTGTTCCTCATGCAATCCTCTCCTCCATGGTGTAGCTGGGTCTCCTCTGTGCATTCTCGGTTAAAATAAGTGCAGACCATTACAGAGTGAAATGTCGTGAGCTGATGTTTAATGCTTAAATATATACACTGCGTTTTACTCTGTTATTAATATTGTTCTTTAGATAGTTGCTTGTTACAATAGAAGTGCATAGTTTACCAAGCTTTTTCTAGCTGACAAAGGAGGCAGGGAAAGTAGAGCTTGCACAGACCAGCCAGGTTCATGAAGAAGAAAAAAAGTTGTGCTTTAAGAAGCATGTTAGTAAATATCAATATTTTTAGAACCAGAATCCCCATCACTATGCTGGGGCATTAGGACCCACACAGACCACAAGGTGAGCACCCCCTACTGGTCCACTAACACCCCTTCCAGCAGCAACCTTAGCTTTCACAGGAGCTCTCCCATCCAGGTACTGACCAGGCTCTCGCCTGCTGAGCTTCAGTAGGTGGCCAGCTGGGAGTTGCAGTGTGATACAGCTGCTGGTGTATGTGTTCTTCATTTCAGTTCACTACCCTGTCCTGTGGCTGGTGGCTGGTGGCTGTGCTCAGTATTAAGATTTGACTTCTCTTCTGTTGCTCATGTATTCACTGGCTCAGCAGTGTGTAAAACCGCGTCCTGCTCTTTGTTGGGTTCTGCAGCTCCCTCAGCTGTTTCCAGATGAAGATTTCGAGAAACTTATTCCACAGCTGCCCGGCCTGGACTCTGCCCCTGACCCAGATCCCAGGTAAGACTGAATGAAGCACCCGCTTTGCCCAGTGGGTCACGTTCCCCTGCGTCAGCGCCCAGACCTGTTCTGACACGCACAGAGAAGAGCATGTAGAGGAAGATTAGTTGCACTTACAATGACTTTATTGTAGTTTTTAATTGGAAACACTGACAGATATGAAGTTACATCTAGTCTAGATCTGATATGGAACGAGCAGCAATGTAAACAATTTAGACAAGCAGTTTGGAATGCTTTAATCTGAGCGGTGCTGTGAAAAATGAGATAACAAAAGTGTGGATGATGTCACCTTCTTATTACAACTAGAGTATCATGCGTCCGTATCATTTGAATTGTGGAACATGTGTTTAATTTGTTAAGTGTTGTATTTTCTCATGGGACAGCCGACTGGTCACGGAAGATGGAACTGCAGGAAAGTATCCCAGATGGGCAGGGATCCTGGGCACGTTCCTGCACTGGAGTGACACGCCCCCCTGCTTCTGGAGCGACACAGCTGACATTCTCTCTTCCTCTCCCCAGATGCCTGGTGTCTCTGCCCTCCCACGTGTTGAAAAACGACCAAGTCAAGCACTTCTTCAGCGCCCCCTCAGTGGCTCAGTGCCCTCAGAGCACAAGTAAGCCTGATTCTGCCGTCTTGATTGAGGTTCTCTGGAGCTGCCACTTTCTAAAAGGGAAAGCCCCTTTTGTTGGGTGTGCCTGGGGCTTCCACCTTCGTGATCATGGGGGGGATTGGTGGTGGGAGGGCACTCCCACTGTGCCCCTGGACTTTTTACTCAAGTGTGAGTGAGTCCTGTCACACAGGGTGATCCGGGGCGCGTGCAGAAGCTGCCGTGCTGGGACCCCACTCATGTATGGGGGCATGTGGACCTTTGCTCAGCCGGTTGGCGCTGAGGAGTGACTGGAAGAAACAGGTGTCCTGCCCGTGTGGGCATCCTCTCGGCAGCTGCCAGCGTTGTGGCTCGGCCAGGGAAGTGTGGGAAATGTACTGCAGGTCAGCGATAGCTAGCGGCCCAGGTGCTGTGGTTCTTTTTACACTTCGGATGGATACAGCGGGGGCTGGAAGCCCAGCCGGTGGTGTTACAGCCTGGAGGTGTGGGACTGGCCCCGGTGAGGCCGCGGTGACGTCAAGAGACATCGCGGTCACGCTTCATCTGTGTTCTCTGACCTGAACTAGTGACCTGATCAGGTGATTGTTGTTTTCCATGTCTGTAACCGAAGAGTTCAAGAGAAGCACGAAACCTGCAAGGCAGTACTTAATCTGTGTGTGTAACGGCGGAAAGAAAATTAACCAAACACTGAGCACGTTTGATTTTTTCCTCCTCTGTTTGTATTAGAATCTATAGGGCCTCAAAGGTGTTGTTGTGCGAAGTTTGTGAAGAAGTGATCTGTGTGTGTTTCTTGTTTCAGATTTTGCCTATGTTTCCCAACACAAAGCCTCCAGCACTGCCGTAAGGTAAGACTCTGTGGTTCCACGCAGATCTCTGTGAAGTACACCGGGTTCTCCATGCCCTACTGTCAAGAACTGCCTGGTTGGGCAATGGCCCAACTAACATCAAGTACCCATCTCTAGATCTCTGCAAGCCCACTTCAGAACAGGCTGGACAACACAAAATTGTTGGACAAACAAAAGTTAATGTATGGTCTCTGAACTTCTATTTATTTTATGAATGCCAGCTGAAATACAACAGTTCATGACCTACATCTGGTATTAAAACAAAAAGTGAAGCAAATTGAACACAAAACAAAAAAGCAATGGATATCCTGGAGGATTACTCCAAGAAGGAAGGCAACACAGACATCACTGGCAGCCTCCGCTTTCATCTGATGTACAGCATTTGCGCTGGTCAGGAGGGCAGAGCAAGAGGAGGGCATAATGTCACAGACTATTGGACATCATGGTCCAAATGGAGATAGCAGCTAGCTACCATGGTACCATGAGACACACTATCTTTATCTCACATCTGGGCTTCAGAAATCCTCTGTCTGCCTCAGAAACTCTAAAGCATA